TGTTAGAATGTTATGTTCCTATGGGTGATTGTCTATGTTCCCATGGGCAACAGCCAGTATTCCCATGGGCGATGGCCAAATAGTAATTTTCAGCTTATGTACAATTGATTATTTTTCATGCCATGCAAGCAAGCAGGGTTACACAGGCTAAAATTGGCAGTTAGCGTATGAGCTCATTGTTACAAGTTTCATGATTAACAGAATGTGGTTAGGGGTTCCAGAAACTAGGCCTAAGTTATAGACTTCCTTTGTCCAGTTTCAGGTTTTAATTATTCTTTAACCCTTTCACATTTCAGCAGGCCATTACATGTTACACCAATAATCTTAATTAAAAATTAAAAAAAAAAAATCTTAATATGGTAACCAACTGAAACAATTAGATAATTTAATAGTATTTTTTGATTCATCATTTTCTCATATTTTATCATAAATTTTGTTGTCATGATGATGACTCAGAAAACTTAGGAAATGGTAATGTGCTGTTACAGGAATAGCGCTGGACTGTTTGTCTTAGACTTTAATTCTAGTCCTAGATCATATTTTATCTCACCGTACAATAACTAACAATACTTCCCTGAATCTTAATTTCATTATTCTCAAAATTAAGTAATTTGGCATATGAGATAAGCTCTGACATTCTATGACTCAAAATTTTTCTTGAAAACATTTTTCATTCATTTCACTTTTTCCCTATTTTATATTTGGGTATCCTTATTTCCCAATGCTATAGTCAATGCAACCACAAATGTAGCTGCTGAATATTGCCTACCATGATATTTTATGTTCAAGAGCATTTTTGCCCCTTTCTCTCTTCCAAGATGAGGAGATGGAGAATGTAAAGAATACATATCTTTATGACTGAGTTTCTTCCCCGGAATTCTTCAGGTCAGAGTATATACATAACTGCCTTGACAATGTCAGTCCTTTAAGGACACGCTGTTCATTCACACCTCAAATTATTTCGTTAATATAAATTACTAATTGCTTTTATGCAGATGTTACCGATTCCCATTTCATTTCCGTGCAGGTCACTGAAGACCAAACAAACAACCTTGTTTTATTCTGTGATTTAATAAATTTAAAGCCAAAGTAAAATATAAAAAGACTTTGTTCTCATAAGGATAGAAATTGGGAAGATACCCTGAATGATAAGATGTTTTAGCAATGAACCGTATGTTTTCTTTAACAGAGAGAAAATAAGACATCTTTATCATAACTGCTTTCTATCATTAATGATAGATTTTACCACAAAAGACCTCTTATTTCAGAAGCTTATAGTATCTATGAGTTTAAAATAGATATAAGCTGCCACTTAATAATTTAGGACTAAAAGGTAAATGTCAGATTTGGGAGATTTTTCTCTCCAACAAATGCCTCAACTTGTGACTGAGTACAACTACAATGAGCACATGTGAAATTTTACATCAGATATTTCACAAAACTTGGCTTCAGGGAAAATATAAGGAAACTCTTTTCTTTTTATTTTGTTTTTAAGATTTAGAAGGTCAACAATAGAGACATGCTGAAGAAAAATAGAAAAGAGACTACTATATTTGATAATTTGCAAAAGCATGTTTTAAAGGCAGTTGGAATGAGAAATGATCATGGTCAATGATTTCATTAACCTTCAGAAACAAAGGCCAGAATCTTTTGGGTGTTTGTCTAAAATATATATATATATTTCTATTTATGGTCATTTTTGTCCATTCTTAAAATAAAAAGTAATTAAATCCAACTTTATGTTTAAGTTAATATGAGTTGCATATTATATGATATGATATGGACTAGTAAAGTATCTTATCTATCAATATATACTGGCATAGAGACATTTAAAATATTTCTTAAGTAAATGAAGGAAATAAAAAAGAAATAAAAAAATGAGTGTTAATTTTCTGGAGAACTTACTTAAAATGTCAGCTATTGCACTTAGAAATGAAGTAATAAAGCCATTAGTGGAAAAATGGCCATAAGTGAAAAAGCTATTGAAATCTAAATAAAGTCTGTAATTAAGTTAATATTCTGGTACTAATGTTAATATCTTAGCTTTTTTTTTCTAACTTGTATATGTTAATTTGAAGAATCAATGGAAAATTTGTTTTAACATTTTTCATATTTTTAGTTTTCAAGCTAGTTAGATCCTCATGCTATACGTGAAGCGGCATCATACCAATAAAAGTAGGCTGGGAGAAGTATGTATACTATAAACCCTATGGTCTCCAATAAAATAAAATATTATAGTTAATTGGCCAGCAAAAAAGATGAAATGGAATGGAATCATAATATATACTCATTATTTGAAGATTTAGAAAAAGGTGAAAAGTACTAAAAAGACAAATACAAAATAGACAGCAATATGGTAAATTTAAATTCTAAAGTATCAGTAAGCATATTAAATATATGCATTCTAAGTACCCAGTTGAAAGTTGGACATTTTCAGATTCAATAAAAGGCAATACCCAGATATAGGTTTCCCAGACAACAAATTTTATAAAGAAAAATAAGGCTTTTTTTAAAATTAATTTTTATATTTTTATTTCTTTCTATTATAGTTGACATACAATATTATATTAGTTTCAGGTGTACAACATAGTGATTACACATTTATATAACTTACAAAGTGATCACTCCAATAAATCCAGTACCCATCTGACACCATATGTAGTTATTACATTACTGATTATATTCCCCATCCTATACTCTATATCCCCATGACTATTTTGTAACTACCAATTTGTACCTCTTAATCCTCTCTCCCTCTTCACCCATCCCCTCACCCCCAATATGGCAAATGCCCTCTTTATGTTTCTATTGTTTCTATGTTTCTATTGTTTGTTTGTTTATCTTTTTCTCTAGAAATCATATGCCATTTGTTTTTCTCTGACTTACTCCACTCAACAAAATACTCTCTAGGTCCATCCATGTTGTTACAGAGGGTGATATTTTATTCTTTTATATGGCTGGGTAATATTCTTGTGTGTGTGTGTGTGTGTGTGTGTGTGTGTGTGTGTGTGTATCACCTCCTTTTTATCCTTTCATCCACTGATGAACACCCAGGTTTTCTCCATATATTGGTTATTGTAGATGATGCTACAATGAACATATGAATGCACATGTCCCTTCAAAGTAGTGTTTTTGATTTCTTTGGATAAATAACCAGAAGTGGGATAACTGGGTCTTTCTCCATCTCTTGTTAATAGCCTTTGTTTTAAAGTCTATTTTGTCTGGTATTAGTATTGCTACTTTAGCTTTTCTGTTTGTTTGTTAAAATTTTCATGAAATATATTTTTTCATCTCTCGCCTTCAGTTGCGTGTGTCTTTCAATCTGAAGTGAGTCTCCTATAGGCAGCATAAATAAGGGTTTGTTTGTTTATCCATTCAGCCACCCTATGTCTTTTGATTAGAGCATTTAATCTATTTACATTTAAAGTAATTATTGCTAGATATGTAGTTATTGGCACTTTATCATTCATATTATTGATTTTTTCTTCTTTTAAAAAAAGTCCTTTCAACATTTCTTATAATAAATTTCTTAGTTTTGATAAATGTACCATGGTTATGTAAGATGTTAACATTAGGGAAAATGGGTGAAAGGTGTACACAAACTATCTTTGCAACCTTTCTGTGTATCTAAATTTTCCAAAATGAAAAGTTTAACATTAAAATAATTAAGCTTGAGTTATTCCTTGCCTTAAAAAATTTATAAGTGCGCACTGAAGACACAAAAGGTAAGAAATAATATGTATTTTAATATCTAAGCAGTACTCACTTTATATGGTAACATAGAACAGTGAAAATGACTATACAAGCTGAAGCTATGAAAAGCAACTTTAATAATTAATGGAAAAATTTACAATTGTTCAATCAGCTTTTATATGCTTTATTAAAACATAAAAACTCCCTTACTGTCAATTATAAATGTATAGGGAAATAAAAATAGTAAAATTACCACTTATTTCACTGTCATTTAAAATATTAGAAACTTTGAGAATTGAAGTGTTTTATATCTTTTTAACGAAATTTATCAAGAGTGGTTTGAACTGTGCTTTCTTCCTCATTGTATAACTAGTGATATAGAGTAAACATCTTCTCTATGTTTTGATGAATTGTCTACTCCTTTCTAAGTTCGGATCAGCTTCAAACATTTTATCCTTCATGCTTTCAATATTGTGAAATATCTATGAGAGTTCTTTTTAAAATGTGAAGTTTTAACTTGTGTTATTTTCTCCAGATTATCTTCATCATTTTTGTTGTAACCATTTGCCTCATTTTTGTCAATACTTTCACCCATACTAAGTTCCTCCAGCTTCACAGCTAGAGTCTTTCTGGCACTGACAGTGTTAACACTCTCATGGTCAGCTATTTCTTCTATAACTCTATTTATTTTTTTATTCTAATTTCACTTTCAGTGCTATAGTTTTGGGGTTTTGTTGTTGCTGTTGTTGTTGCACTTTCATCTATATTGGCCAATATCCTCTTTTGATTATCTATTTTTGTAGAATGTTATGAGTTTATTTTTTTGGAGACAGGAGTCAATACAAATGTATTTTTTGCTGCTATACGTCAACTGAAAACATGGGCAGGAACCAACAATTGCAGACTTTGAAAAAAGCAATGTAATTGGTCACTGATGATAATGTGCCTATTATTTATGTAGTTATTTGTAGCCTGAAAGGCTAGCTACAAAGTTTGTAGTTTATACAATTACAGTTAATATATCATGGTAAAACAAACAAACAAAAATTATACGATAGTATTTTTTGCAATGGGTTTGCTGCCAGAACTCAGGTGTCATGAAAACCAACATTATATCTAAACCAAAATGGGAAAAGAAAAGACTCACATCAACATCGTTGTCATTGGACACGTAGATTCTGGCAAGTTGACCACAACTGGTCATCTGATTTACAAATGTGGTGGGATTGACAAAAGAACCATCAAAAAAAATGAGAAGGAGGCTACTGAGATGGGGAAGGGCTCCTTCAAATATGCTTGGGTCTTGGATAAATTAAAAGCTGAATGTGAGCATGGTATCACCATTGATATCTCCCTGTGGAAATTTGAGACCAGCAAGTATTATGTGACCATTGTTGATGCCTTAGGACACAGAGATTTTATGAAAAACATGATTATAGGCACATCACAGGTTGACCGTGCTGTCTTGATTGTTGCAGCTGGTGTTGGTAAATTTGAAGCAGGTATCTCCAAGAACGGGCAGACCCGTGAGCATGCCCTTCTGGCTTACACATTGATTGTGAAACAACTAATTGTTGGTGTTAACAAGATGGATTTCACTGAGCTGCCTTACAGCCAGAAGAGATATGAGGAAATAGTTAAGAAAGTCAGCACTTACATTAAGAAAATTGGCTACAACCCTGACACAGTAGCATTTGTAACAATTTCTGGTTGGAATGGTGACAACATGCTGGAGTCAAGTGCTAATATGCCTTGGTTCAAGGGATGGAAAGTCACCCATAAAGATGGCAGTGCAAGTGTAACCACACTGCTTGAAGCTCTGGATTATATCCTGCCACCAGCTCACCCAACTGACAATCTTTTGCGTCTGCCACTCCAGGATGCCTACAAAAAGAAAAAATCTCCAGAAAATAACTTTAAAGACATAAAAATATGTGACCTAAATTACAGAGAATTGAGGATAGTACTTCTGAAAAAACTCAATGAGATACCAAACAATTCATATCAATAATTTCAGAAACTGAAAAAAAATAACCATATCAGCAGAATGAGTTATTTAGCTAGGAGATTGAAACCCTCAAAAAGAACCAAATAGAAATTCTTGAGATGAAGAACACACTGAAAGAGGTGAAAAATGAAATAACAAGCTTGAGAAATAGAGTTGACAAAATGGAGGAAAGGATCAGTGATATTTAAGACAGAAATCTAAAAATAAATCAGAAGAAAGAAGAGAGAAACCAAAGAATGAAAAATAATGAAAGAGAAATGCAAGAACTAGCTAATACCATCAGGAGAGGAAACATAAAAATAATGAGCATTTTTAAAGGGAAAGAAAACGTGCAGGGATTAGAAAGCATTTTCAGAAAAAAAAAATAGTTGATGAGAATTTCCCAAATCTAAGGAATGAGCTGGAGCTTGGAATTCAAGAAGTCAACAGAACACCCAATTATCTCAACCCCAAAAGGGCTTCTC